CAATAAAGAGAGTTAGAGTTAATATGTGTAGCAAAAAGGAAGCATTTGTAAGCTAAGTAGATACCAAGAGTACCAGGGCTGCTTGGGCTGTCAGCGCAGGTCTCCCCTGCTAGTGATGTTACTGGGATACTCCCACATGCCAAACACGGCTATACCAGACCCTAAATCATATGTTTTAGAAATATATTGTTTGATAGGGCCTAACTGCTGGATAAAGCGCACATCACGCGAGTGTGAGGTAAACAAGTAGGGAATCTGGCATGAGCGAACTGTATGATTGTTGAGAAAGTCTACAGGAAAAGGAAATTCACAAAAATCCGAAAATTTTTGGGGTGGACATTTTTTTCAGGCGACGACAAAGGAACTGGTCACTGAAGCACTCCAGAAATGCCCGCATCTTGGACACATTCTCGCGAATCTTTTCTGGAAGTGCTCGTTTCAGGAACTCACCAATGAGTTAGCTATGCTTTCATGTTTTTTTTTATCGACAGATCGTTAAAAATTACTAATTACCTGCAGCCGATAGTGCTTGTGCAAATGTCGCAGAAAAGTTGTTACTTTAAAAGCCTGAAAATTCTACCTGTTCTGGAGGGGTCTACAGTGTTTTGGCAGTACAAATTAGCCACAAGGTGTTTTCCATTGCTTTCTCTTTTCGTGTCTTTTTTTTTTGTGGTTTGGCAAAGAAGGCGACAGAGAGTAACCGAAAGCAATCATATTATCAGTTGGCCGAGGACCGAGCACTTTAATATTACAAAAGCTGTGAATGCGAAATCGTCTGATTCGATAGCCTTATCAGTATTAGTCTTTGACTGGAAGAAATCGACGACGGGTACTTCTGAGGATTGTAAGGCGCTGGAATAGTAAAAGCGGAACAAGTTCTGACAATAATAATAGCCAGTTAAGCGGGGATATGTCGGATAGCTAAGAGGGAGGATGACAGGTTAAATCGGATAGGCTCATTTCATGCATGAGATTCGTTTTCAGAAAAATCATTCGTAGAAAGGACTTTTAGTTTGTACGATGTACAATGTAACAAAGTTTGGTAAAATTTCAAAGTACTGGAATACGGGAAAATCTCCCTCAGACCCAAAGATATTCAAATTTAGCAAGTGGGAGAGAGAGTTATGCCGTTTTTCAGGTCGCAGTGGACCGGAATTCTGAAGGATGCTTTGAGCACTATGGCAGTTTTTTGCTACCATTCGACTGATTTTTGTGCCGGGGTTAGCACTTTTTTGCATAATTTTTCTTTTACTATCAGAATTTTTACAACGTTTAATCAGTTGTCATGAATCCCTTACTGTGTGCCTGATCATCACAATAAGCATGTAAAACGAAACAGCAACGGAAAGTTTTACCACTGCTTTTGTCGGTCTTCCTACACGACCTTTATTTTACTGAAATATTACGAACTGTGGGCATGCAGCCCAGGATCGAAAAATCTAGGCGTGTGGGAGCATCCTAGTAACATCACTGGCGGAGAATATCCATACCAGCTTAAACGGTGTTGGTATTCTTGGTGTTATAAATTAACTTTTCCACAAAATCAAAACACTCCTTCGTGATATGGGAATTGCAATGAACTAGGTGGTGTCGAAGCAGGACGATGTACAAACCTGGCAGCTTCAAGCATGTTACAAAAACATTGTGCCGCAGTTCGTCCAGTCAAGTTGGGTAGTACCAACAAATATCAGCCTAACCAGCGGTTGGAGATATAGTGGAAGATAAGTAGTTGTACAGGCAGAAACGCAAATGTGTTTTATAAGACGCGGTGTGTGTGACATCGTACATGAAGAAAAATAAGACGATGGCAACATTTGGCATCTTAGTTTTCGTGTTACAGTTTGTTGTTTTTTCTTGTTTTTCTCTCTTCATTTTGACTCAAAAGCAAATATGTTAAGAATTTACGTGAACTGACTTGTCAAAGCAGCAAATTTTTATCATTTCAGATGGCAGAGCCGGTCAGAAATATCGCACCGACCTCAGGTATGTTGTGTTTTTTTTTTTTTTATCAGTTAGCCCGATTTTAAGCAGTTCTTTTCGTTACACATTATAACATGCCGCTTTTAGCAAGGAGAGGGTGTGCGCCTCGTATTTAATGCTCTTTTTTCCTCGAATTTGGAAGTCTGGCTTCTTCATACTGCTATACACTTTCCTCGACTGGGCTGGATTTCTTGTTTTTTCCATCCAGCTTTTGAATGGGAACGAAAAATGACCTTTTACGTCCATA